GGGTCAGGGCGTTGGGGATGTGTGGTGTTGTGGGGGAGGGTCAGGGCGCTGGGGATACCCGGTGTTGTGGGGGAGGGTCAGGGCGTTGGGTATTCATGGTGTTGTTGGGGGAGGGTCAAGGCGTTGGGTATTCATGGTGTTGTTGGGGGTGGGTCTCGGGGCCTGTGTGGGGCCCCAGCTCCCTGTGCTGAGGGGCTGCTTTGGGGTCAGGGCGGGATGAGCTGCTAGCAAGCAAGAGTGCTGGGAGGCCAGTACTGACGTCCAGCCCAGCTGGAGCGGAGAGGCCTGGTCCACACCCCAGTCCCGCAAGCATCCCGCACAGATGCAGAAAGGCCACCTTGGGAGTCGGGACCTGGCCTTAGACCCACCCCGACGTGGCGGGAAATGCAGCCGGACTGTGGGAAGGAGGGGCAGCACTGGGACACTCAGGCTGCCCTTGAGCATTAGGGATGTTCTCTGTTGTTAGGTGCCAGCCCCAGCCCTGTACATGGTGCCCTCAGTCCCGGTGGTGACCAGGGAGTCAGAAGAATAGATAAAGACGAGAGTTGAGTTTCACAGCGTGGGTCCAGGAGACCAGCGCGATGGCGGGACGGCTTTGGCCCTGAGCTTTGGGTTCCACACGCGGTTATTAGGCGCATTGTCTCATTAATCTTGCAGGCTGTGGTGAGGGAGGTAGAAGGGTAAACCGAAAGCTGTTGTGGGGTAAGACAGCCGGGGGGACAGGCAGCATTCAACAGCACGCGTGCTGCTTCTAAGAAGCACTGACTTAGGACACCGAGTCTTACCGCCATGATTATCAAGGTGCATCTGCATGGGAGCAGAGCATGAGGCGCCGCCAGGCCTGACCGCACACAGCGCATCAAGGGGCTTCATCTCCCGAGCATTGCCGACACAGCGCTGTCAGAGTCTCCATATTCTGAGAACCTAGGCAGAGCCTGTGGCGTTCCGGTTATCTCTGCCCTGCAAGGCCTTCCTGCCTCTCAAGCTCCTATCTGCAGTGACCCTCCCGAAGGAGTGGAGGTGGCACTCCTCCCCAGAGCTCTTGGACACGCCCTCTTTATGAGACCCTCACGCAGACCCTGTGGGGGGAAGGCATTTGTGGGACCAAAGCGTCTTTCCTGCCTTGCACCCACGCCGCAGCGTTCCCCGGTTTTAAACCTCTCAGATGGTCTTTACCGTAGGCCTCCTGTTACCGCTTAGTTTCTGTTTGTACAAGCCTTAAACAGTTTTTATTGTACTGTACCATAGTTTGGAGTTTTCTTAACTCAGTATTTGATCCGTGGCACGAATCTCAGTGTATAAAAAGCAAAGCAAGCTTGTAATCGTTTACGTAGAAATAACATAGGTCTGCCCCTGCCATCTCGGCCCACACTGTGATGGAACTGCTTGTGAGAACCACATGGCCTCGTCCTCCCTTGCTCACATCTGCAGACTCTGCTTCCAAGTAAAGCCGCCTGCAGGTGCCAGAGCTGCCTTTCTCGAGAGGAAGAGCAGAGCCCATGTCTGAGCGGGGCCTCCATGGTGTCCGGCGTCTTAGAAAACTACCAGCCCAGCAGAGGTAGCACCTGCGCCCAGTCACCGAGGAAAGAATGCTTCCTAGGAAGTGAGTGGAGGTGACCCAGAAACGCAGAAGCCGCCAAGAGGCGTTCACAGTTAGAGGAGGGCAGGCATCTGGATAAGTAGAAGAGCAGGGGTCTCGGCAGAGAGATGGGAGCACCTGGGAGCCCCACAGCTGTTCCTGAGACCACAGCATGGAGCCAGGGGAGCTCTGCTGCCCCGTGGGCCCTGATGTGCCCTGGGTGCTCCCTGGAGTGGCTCCTGGGGGACTCAGGTTTGTAACTGGGACAGCGCAGAGCCACTGCCCTGGGGTCGGAGTGTTTCCTGTGGCCTGCAGTTCCTGGGGCTGATGAGCTGCTGTCTCTGGCCTGAGTTGGAGGCAGATGAGCGACCTGAAAGAGACCCAGGCCCTCTGGCTTCCTGAGGCTGGAAGTCCCTGCCCACATGGGCAGGGCTGTTCACTGGCCGAGGCTGTGGGAAGATCCTCCTTGTCTTCTCCAACTTCTGGGCCGGGCACTCCGTGGCTGCCTCTTCCTCCCTGAGTCTCCTCTTCCCATGAGGACCCCAGTCTGTGGATCGAGGCTCACCCACCCCAGCGTGCCCTCGTCCTCACCCGCTCACATCTGCAGACTCTGGCCAGGACCGCCCGCGCAGGCTGTGAGTAGGACTCACCTGTCGTTTTGCGGGTGCAGTTCCATGGACTGTGGATACAGCACTGGGCGTACCTGGCTGAGAGCATTCAGATAATAGTGACATTGATGGGCTTACCTCTTTCTGGTTCCTATCCCTCATTCTCTTTGTAAATGCCCTTAAAGTTTGTCCTGAAACGTGTATTTTAGGAAAGGCTAGATTTCTGTATAAACAGGCTTTGCAATTATTTTTTCATGTACATTGTACATTTTGAAACAGGCCCACACTAATAGGAAAGTTACCAAGGAGATGCAAGAATGTCTGCCAGAGCCCATGGGGACTCGTCCGCCTGACACCCCCAGCCCTGCGCCCGGGCCTGTGTTTCCCATAAGCAGGGGCGTCCCAGCACAGGACGGCCATCCAGGTGGGAGCTGACGTGGACTCGTTGGTACTGTCCCCTGCTTGGACCCCGTCTGAGTGTCTCAGGGGTCGCAGCGGCCAGGCCAGGGTCACTGGCCCTCTGTGACCTCGCCACCTCGGCCTGCAGGAGTCCCCATCTTGCTCCTAGGGTGTGCCCTGTCCAGGGACCTGGTGGGGCTGCTGACGTGGCCTTGCAGGGCAGGGCTGAGTCTTCTGGGACTCCATCCAGCACAGGGCTAGTGGTGTGACTTGCTCACCCCTCACGGCGGGCTCTGCCCGGCTGCTCCCCAGGAACTAATGAGTGTCCCATGTGGGAGGCATCTCAGGACCCCTCGAAGATCCTGTCCACTTTCCTCAGTGAAAAACCAGAGTCCCCCACAAAGCAACTCAGAAACCAGGTGCACTGAGATCAGGGTGTGACCACAGCAGTGAGGAAGGGAGGCTGGACACAGAAGCACAGCCTGATTATTAAAGCGTTTATCCCAGGTCTCCAGCAATGCGGACTGACGATTTCCCATTTTATTCCTTGGGTTAGAATCCTTTACAAACATGTTTTTTTTTTTTTTCACTCAAATCCCAGATTTGGCCAGAGGGAGCCCCCCAGGCGGGGCCTTTGTCCTTCGGCCTAGCCCTGTTCTCTGGGCCCCTCCCTGCTTTCTGGCCCTGCAGGAAGCCCCGGGCTCTGTGCACTTCCCACCTCAGCCCTGGCGTTAGCTGTTTCTCCAAGGAGCCCTGGTTCCCGCTAGGCCAGCTTTGCTTTTAGAAGGCTTTGAAAATTTTTTAATTATCCTAATGGTACTGTTGAAAGTGTGAATAAGGCACCTTCTTCACTGGAAGCTGATGCCTTCATCTTCCTCTGAGTACCCTAATTTCTGAATCTCTGTGATCACAGCCCATCCTCCCGGAAGCCATTGCCAGCTGAAGGGCGAGGTCTGCAGAGACCTCGGAGAGGCTGGCAGCTGCGTGGTCAGTGCGCCTCAGGTTGACCAGGGAAGCATGTTGGATTTACACCAGGGTTTTCTTAGAGTGAATATCGGCCAGGGCGTTTGTGTGGCCCACAGCTTCAACTGTCTGTGACTCATGTCACACAGAAACCTGTGCTGTGTGCTCTGCCCCGCTGTGAGTGCTGGTGGCCTCAGGCCTGCGTGCGCAGAGCGGCCTGGGCGAGCCCTCTGGTGAGGCGGGGCTGCGGAGCGGGCCAGAAAAAGAGAGCCGGGCTTCTCAGGGCCCTTCCTGCGCTCATTCCGGCGCTCACTGGGGCTGTGGCTGCTGGCCAGCACTGTTCCATCTGTTCCCTCGCGCACCTCTGTTTCACACAGGGTCTGCCAGCCCCTTCAGCCACTCCTTCATTCAGCTGCCACCTGCTGAGCACTGCCTGGAGACCCTCATGTGGGGCGCAGGCCTCGGGGGCTTCCTGTGCCTGTGGGATGTGCTCAGGCCCCGAGTGCCTCCTGTGGTGCCTGAGCCTGGCCGCCGCCTTTACAGAGAGGGCAGGCGGGAGACTAAGGCTGAGCATCAGCTGAGCCCTCGCGAGGGCTGTCCACTTCCTCAGTGGAACCCAGAGCCCCACAAAGCAGCTGAGACTCTGGGTGTGCCGAGATGAGGGCGTCTCCTTCACAAAAATAAAGTGTGACCGCAGCAGTGAGGAAGGGAGGCTGGACACAAGCACAGCTTGATTGTTAAAGCCTTTACGCCATGATCGTGGCCTGAAGACCACCGTTTCCGTTTCGATTTTTTTTAAACAAAGGATTGATTACCAAATTAGACATTTTACAGATTACAAATAATTAGTGGCAGGCATCATGTTATAGTGAGTTTCTTAGCCTCAATTTTAAAGAAACATCTAGGCGTGAAGTGTCGAAACTGCGTGGCCTCATAAAACGCGTTCTCTTCCGTGGAGCTGCAGGGTGGCCCGAGACGGGTTGGGACACTTGCCCTCGCCACGGCCACGGCCAGGGGTCTGCCCTGAGGGTCCCCACGAGACTGAGAGGTGCCGAGGCAGCGCCAGCGCGCTTCCCCTGGGCCCTCCTCAATTTCCCTCCACCGAGTTGCTTTCCACCTCCTTCTGCCTGTTGGTGGGAAGACAGTCAACGTGGAAGGGGGGGTGTCCAGCGCCTCCCCAGCCCGGCCTCGGACAGGTAGCGCGGGGCTGCACGGGCTCATTCCGGCGCTCACTGGGGCTGTGGCTGCTGGCCAGCACTGTTCCATCTGTTCCCTCGCGCACCTCTGTTTCACACAGGGCTGGAGTGCTTTGCTCTGGGCCGGGGGGCAGAGCTGCGGCCCCCACGTCCTCACCAGTGTGGTCCCTCCCTTCACCACAGCCCCAGTCTCTGTGGGCACAACCCCCACGGGTTTCTGTGGAGTCGACCAGACTGCAGCGTGGATGCCTGTCCACAAAGCACGAAAGCCAAACACGCAGGTGGACGATGAGAGAGGGGTCCACAGAGCGCACGCACAGTGGCACCGGGCACGGAGCAGCCGGCGTCCACAGCGCCTGTGAGGTAGAGGGGCCAGCCGAGGGCCCCCTGCACGGCCCAAGCATGCTTCCCCTCGCATGCAGAATTCCAGTGAACAGGGAGTTTGCAGCCGAGCAGCATGTGCTGTTTGAAATATGAAGTGGTTCCATTCAAAGGGAGAAGTGGACACTTAAACTTCCCAGACTGTCACTTGGAATTCTCTGCAGTTGCGTTTGTTAACCCGCTAACCTGAACGCTTTGAATCACGTACGTTTTCTTCGTGATACGCTCTCCAGAGTGAGAAGCACCAACCAGCCTTGTGTTTCCAGAACAGTCTCTGAGCTGGACGGTTGTCCCCACCTGCTCTCCGGACTTTGTTCCGCTATGGTGCGAAGCCTCTGGGGCCCAGGGCCACACGCCTTCAGCCTGATGGGGCGGTGCTCCCCTGCCTGCCGTGGCCAGGCCCCACCAGGCTGCACGATCTCAGTTCAGGCCTTCCAGACCAGTGCTTCCTGAAGGGGAAAGCAGCAGGTTTTGGTTTTCGGGATACCGTTGTGTTTGTGAGTAGAGAATTTGACTTTGCTGAGACCTGACCGCGGAGTCCCACAGTGTGAAGACCGTGAGGTAGGGCCTGTCCCATCTGCTGCACATCTGTCGTGTAGACGCAGGTGTGGCGGGGGCGGGGAGCACGGCAGAGGGTGGGGACTCAGCGAAGCCACCGTCCTCGCTCCTGGGGCTGCTACAGGTGGGGTCTGGGCTGCCGCTGGCTCCCGTGGCATCCTCTCTGCCCACGTCTGGCGGACTTGGGGCTCTGCCAGGCTCCACAGCTTCTGGTCTGTCCTTCCCTGAAGTCTCCAGGCGGCCCCGACACAGCACAGTGTTCCCAGAGGGTTTGGTGGACATGTCCACGCTCGGTAACCGGCATGAGTCACACTGAGGCCAGGCACGAAGGCTGTGCCCTGCAGGAGGGAGGGGGTGGGACGTGTACTGCCCTCAACCCACACCGTGGAGGCGCCCACGTCTGCCCCTGGGCTGCCTGGTCCCAAGTGTGCTGGGGCCGTGCTCGCTTGAGGGCCAGTGGGCACCACGGCCCCTTGTCGTCTCGGGGCATCCAGGCCGTGACGTCTTCGTCATCGCCACGTCGATTTTGCAGCCATGCTCCCTTCCCCCCTCCTTTCTCCATCAGGCTGGTAAAGGCTAGAGAGAGGGGCTGGGTCAAAGTGCACTGCCTCCATTCCTCACACTGCCATGCTGTGGGGAGCTGTGTGGGCAGGCACAGGATGGCCGAGCTCCTGTCCACCTGCCGGCCAGGGCGCCCAGGAAGCCATGGGGGTCTCTCCAGGACAGGCAGTGCCCAAGCCTTCGTCTTGTTTGAGGAAGAAGAAAGGGGTGAGGGTGGCCCCCTCCCTACCCGGCCGTTGTTTGGTTCATTTTCTCATTACTGAAAGGCTGGTCAGCGTGGGGATGATGCTTTCCCAGTGAGGTGAGGTGTCCAGTGGCCAGCATGAGGCAGGTGTGGGTGTAGGGGAAGGGTGGGCCTGGGCGGAAGGCACTGGGAAGTGGAGGCCTTCCTTGCTGAGGAGCCCTGGCCATAGCAGGAGGTGCTGGAGGCTCAGCGGTGAGCCCTGTCAGTCCGCTCCGTTTCCACCACTGCAGGTCCTTGTTGCCGGTGTTGGTTCAGGCCGGAGTTAAAGTGGCTTCTGCTGCCTTTAGGGTCCTCCCAAGGTAGAAAAGAACAAAGTCCTCTCCTAAGATTGTGGCTCTAGTGCCCCAGTGGGTCTGGCTGGGAGATTGTGCTTTTAAGGGTGAATGAATGGATAAGTGGTGAACCCGTGTAGTGCTCTAGCTGCTGCTGCAGGAGCTGCACGCCCGCCTGTGCTCAGGGCTGTCTGTGGGTGCCGGTAGGCGACTCTCAGGTCCCGCCAGCCGCGCCTTGAGGGACGTGTGCGCTGCAGTAGCTGAAGCGCCGTGCGAGCTGCTCCTGGATAGATACCGTCTCTGTGTGTCTCTCGCATCTGACACAGGGAGCCAGGGGCCTGCGCAGCCGTGGGGTGGTGATGCAGGGACCCTGGACAGTGGCCCTGGTGCGCTGAGGGCTCCCTGGGCACTGCACCTGCTGCCCGACTTGAGTGTTAGCGAGCATCTTCCTGGCTGGGTGTTTGCGTGTGTGTTGGAGTGATCTTCAGGGTCAGCGTGCAGCTCTCCTGAGGTCTTCAGTGTCTGGTGATCGTTTCCTTCCCAGCACACAGTTCTAGTGACATACCTGTCAAGTGCAAAAGCATCTTCTGGAATGTCTGATCAACGAAGAGGCCCCAGACCTTGCAGTGTCTGGATAAACAAGTGTGACATTTTTTGTGTCCCATCCCCAGATGAAGAGGACATCAGTGCCCTCTGGTCGGTGAAGACAAGCATGCACAGGGCAAATTCATGCGTCTTAAAGGATCAAAACACCACCCTGCTGTGTCCCCACACCCCAGCCTGCTAATTATAAAATAGGCTCGGGGGAGATTTGAAAGCTCAAACTTTCATATTTATATGAAAGGGAGATGAGTTCATGAAGGAGGTGTCACAGAGACCCCCAAACCCCCCTTCCCATAGCTGTACCTGGGGTTGGTGTCGGCGGGTGCGGGTGTCTGTGGGTTGGTGTCGGCGGGTGCGGGTGTCTGTGGGTTGGTGTCGGAGGGTGCGGGTGTCGGAGGGTGCGGGTGTCGGTGGGTTGGTGTCGGAGGGTGCGG